TAACCTGTCGTAGTCCCCAGGATCATCGCATTGCTAGATGAGTTCAACAGTTCTGCTGCCGAAATGTCAGCAATATACTGTTGCTCATGCTCACTTAAAATTTTCTGTTGCTCATCCACTTTTTAATTTTCTTGATTATAAAAGTATGGTTTTTCCGGCACGCGCCCTTCGCCCTCAAAGTAAAGTATGACAGGAGCTTTTACAGAAGTATTACGGTTGCTTAGCCATAATGTGTTGTCGTAGACTTAGGGGTATTGTATCCTGTCGATTTTTATCTGGTGGAGTTTTTCCTGGGGTATTATTTGAAGATTTAGATGGGAAATTCAAGGGTGGGAAATTTAGATGGGAAATTCAAGATTTAGATCCAAATTTTGTTAACAATCCCCCCTCTTTTCATGCACATTTCATCCCCCCTCTTAAAAGATCTTGCTGAGATGCACAATTAATTTTTATATGCCTAGCCGTTGAATTAGTCGTTTATAAGGGTGGCCTTTGCTTACTAGTCAACCCATGAGGGATGGACATGTATGCAAAATCCAATATAACAATCCGACTACCCTTTTTGTCGGTGCAGTCAATTCCTGATGGAGCAGTTCGAGAGGAGCGCACCTGCTTTTCTGTATGCTTTTAGATAGTAGTACTTCAAAGCTTATAGCTTCATTGCTTCTTTTTACAAAAACAAAATATGTAGGCTTCGATGCTGGTCTCAGTAATTTTTTTCCTTTTTCAAGAGCTGGTTTGACTTGCTGGAAAATTCCTCTTTTATTTAGTTCTAATTTCTCCTATTTTATTTTCACCCATTTTGCTTTCGATTTCGTCAGAATCTACCTCACACCTTTATTGCGTCTACAGATGGCAGAACGTGTTATATGTGTGATTATATATGTGGGGTCTTTGCATAAATTCCTATGCTTTGCCTTATGGGCGTTTTAATATTCCGGTTTTTGGGTAAATTATGACCTGAGGTAGTTTTTGTGCTTGAGTCGAAAGAACTTTGTTGCGCTTATTTCGATGGCTAGCTGATTGTGAGGTTTTTCCAATATCGTGTTACAGCATGCCGTTTTTTCTTCGGCAGGGTTAATATGTAGAGCAGAGGAACAAAAAGATAGTGTCGCCCAACCACAAATAAAGCACAGTAAGCAGTATAGATCAATACCTGGTAGGGTACTGTGATTTTCATTGCACCTGATATATTCCAAAATGCTTCTATCGCTTCCTCTTTTTGATGTTGGTTAATTTTTGCATCTTGTTTTTGGGTTTCGGTTGAAAATATGTGACACGCAATAACGTATGTGATACTAAATTTATCCAACTTCCTGCAAATTTAATTGATGAATTATTGAAAAGTGTACGAAATGGGCAAAAACTGAGAACTATGACTATACTAGACTTGCGCGTTCGAGTCAGATGTTTTACTTGAATGCATCCTGTAACTTGTGTTGGTTTTGTTACAGGTACGTATGAAACCAATAAGGATGTTAATGAGCACACACATGTGACAGAAGTACGGACTAACAAAACAGTACTCTTGCTTGATATTTTGAAAGCAGTGTGAAACCTCAGTAGCTTTTGGCTTGTGAGCCTCAATTTCATTTGACCGGAAAAACTATATATCGTAACGCGCAGTAGATTAGTGGAATAAATTGCGAATATTCGATAGTGCTATTCAATGAAAATCGTTATTATTCGGAAAATAGTGCTAGCATCCGAATAACTGTGTTGCTAGGTGGCGAAGCATCCAAGTTTTGCAATAAATGGACTTGACATTGTTTTGATAGCAAAAAGAATGCCTGTTTTCCAATTTTAACGGTTATTCTATCATTATACTTCAATTTTTGAGTTATACCGGATGCTTATTGCGTAAAACCATTATTTAACTGAAAAGGTTTAGAACGGGAAATGTACATTCTAATCTACAACGGGAAATTTTCTAATTTAAACGATTTATGAGCTGCCATCGTAGTATAACCGTTTCAAGATAAATTAAAGAGCTTCTTTGCTAAGAGTTATCATCAGCTTGGTGCAATTTACGTTTTCAGCTAAATTTCGACAGAGTTTTTGTTGTCTATTCATGCAGCACAGCACGTGACGTTTAGAGCATACGCTTTCATATTAAAAATGATGCCGAAAAGAATTGCCATGCTGTTGATGAAATGAGACAACGTTCAAATCAAGATGGTTTGTGAGCTGCCATCGTAGTATTAGTTTGAAGAAAACTAAAGGCGTTACATTGTTTAGATTTGTCATTCGCTTGGTGCAATTTGAATTTTCTTTTGGGTCAAATTTCGGCGTTATTGTTGTTGTCTATTCATACATGCCATGAATTTATGATCATACGCTTTCATTTTAAAATGGTGCCAATAGAATATTGTCATGCTGTTGATTAAACGAGAAAACATTGCTGAATAAAGGTACACTGTATAAGGTACCAGTGAGAAGAGAAATCTATACACTATATGAATCAACTAAAATGGAACACCTTTGTTTGAGTGTAACATTTCTCAGCTTAAGGAGATCCAACTACCGCTGATCGAATTTTCCAGGATACTTACTCATTTCATGCCGGTTCGATGTTTGAAAATGAATTGATAAAAAAGAATTGTTGATTTTGTTTGGTGCTTTACATTGACATTGCAGCGGTTAAGTATTGTCAATCAGTTATTGACAACTACTAAATGCAGATTCAAGATCAACTGATCTTTCCTATTGGTCCACCGCAACTTATTCTGGACAGAACCACATTTCATGAAACCATTTTCAAATGGGAGTTTTTGCTATCAGACCTAGCTGTGTGATCTCAAGGCGAGCTGGTGATTGAAGTTGCTCATGTTCATGTAATCATGTATCTTTTTTAATAGTCTGAAAGTAGCGCCGGTGTACTAACAGGAAAGATCCGATATCGTCACGTTCGGTTTATCAAAAAAATTAGAAATATGTTTCATACTCCACAAGAAGTGGACTAATGAAAAGGATGATACGCGAAGTCAGACAGAGCTAAATTTCCATCTGGTGATTCAATCAAAATAAAATAATGTCCACTTCTTGTTTTAGCTCTTGCCCCCAACTCCCCCCCCCCCCCCCCCACTTGCAAAATCCTACTGTGATTTTTTTTTTCACATTATCCGAATGTTAACAAAATTGGCATGCGAACTACTTTGGCCATGATCAACATGTTTTGTCTTCATGACTAACATTGTAAAACCCCTCGTTACACCAAAAAGTTGATGCTTACTTGAGGTAGGGGGGGGGGGGGGGGGGGGGAGGAAAAGAGCCCTTGTTTCTTTTAAATTAAATACTGAATTAGTCTTTTCGGTGATTTTTTGTTTTCGAGGGAATCTGGAAACTGAGAAAGGGTTAGATGATGCATGGAATGCAATACCCAATTGAAAAGGAATAGGTCCAAATTGAGACGTCAGTGACACTTCTTCTCAATCGGAAGGTTGAGTGAGGTAACTTGTCGTCCTTGTTCTCTTGATTGTGCAATAACTAGGTACACATCTTATCAAACATAAGTATTTCCATTTAAGAGAAACGCTTCAGGAAACCACCGAATCAAAATAGATAAGACATGTTTGTGATAAGGTCACAGCGGTTGTTTGGTAGGTTCCAGTAGCAAGTAGCTTTCAAGTTTGGGTTAGAATTTGGGCAAGAAGGTTCAAAAAAGGTTGATGTCAGAAAACCAATAGTTGTTCTGACGGTCAGATGGTAGATTTTGTACATCATGATCCAGTATAATTTAAGTGACTTCCTCTTTTCCGATGTACAGATGGTTACTTTCCTTAAGGTGTTGTTGGTGGCTGGGGTATATTTCTCGTTTTCGTTAGGAGTAGGTATAAAAGGAAGATCGTTGCTGATCAGACATTTCAAGTTTTTTGAAGGATTTTTGGGTGATAGAATTCAGTCTTGCTTTCATCGTTCGAAGATTGATTACTGCATATTTTTGAATGTGATGGGCATGTTTTTGTTGTTAAGCATATAAGCTAACTTCCAAGGAGCAAGGAATCGTACAGTGATGACAGGGACAGGCAATACATTACACTACAGTAATCAGCACAAGACTTGCCTCCACAATTCTACCTTGCCCTTCAGATTTGACAAGGTAATTTATCAGCCAGTCGTTTTATAAATTATGCAATCTATTTGTCCGCAAAATAGTCCTAGAGAGTTTCACTTTTATGTGTGGCAGAGGGTATTTAGGAATATTGTAAGCGGGAATAAAAGAGTACTTCTGTACAATTTTTCTCGGGTATACACCAACAGTGTGCTACGGTACTATGCAATTCCTTCAACAATTTTCAGTTTTGTCATTCTTCAGTTGAATTTTTATAATAGCGAAAAACAACTTGGAAAAGGAGCTTATATTTTTTAAAGGTAGAAGCATTTGTGGCTTAAAAGGTTTATTATATAGGAGCGGGTTACTATATTATACTTTGCTTTCATGATTAAAACGGTATTTAGCAGAAAATGATTTCATGCGATAACAGAAATGAGCAGGTACAATAAGCGTCATGTATTGTAGTGGCATGTTTCTCTGGTACTCTTAAACTTCAGTGTGCCTTGGATGTTGGGCAATACCAGGATTGCCAATGTCAAACTTAGACCACAGTAAATCGTTGTCTGCTATTAAGGTCCCTTGATTCAAAGCGTACGTCAGACCTGCCGAATGTGCGATAGAGGCTGAGTCTCGGCGGTCTGTAGAAAGACTAGCCGAAAGTCTTCTCACAATTTCGCTTCCGACAAGAGTGTTGTTCATTCTCAACCTGAGTGAGTCGTTAGGAGGTATCACCTAAAACAATCAGCAGTTCAGAAAACAGTTCAAAACAGTTGCAAATTTTTAGAAACGAGAAAGAATTGATGTTTTGTCTATTGGAAAACTGAATATTGGTTACTACTGAATAATATTAAGTAATTTAAGCATGAGTTTTCTTTTCAAAATTTTTGGGGAGTTTTGCGATAAAATTTTTTTGCACCTTAAACTGGTAACTATGATGCTGATATTCAGATAGCCAATGAGCCATGAAAGAGGCAGAGTCTGAAGTTGAGCAATGCACATCGCCTCTGCTGGATGGCTCAGTGGCTTTTGGTGGATCAATTAAAAATTTCGAAACTGCATGCCAGGTGTGCGGGGACTTGGCAACAGGTGTGGTGTTCAAAACCAGCTTAAGTTTTTTTTCCAAACAGAAAAACGACATTTTTAACGAATAGTTTCTAGTGAAAGTGAATTAATTCTTATCAGGGTTTAGTTGACTACAGGTAAAGATACTCATCGCAGGGCATATGTTGCGATAACAGGAGTAGAAGTGATTAAACATTCTTTAACATTCTGTATGAATTCGCCAGCATGCTGAGACTAAGTGAGCCAGAGATAGGTGTAGGTTTGAAATGAATGACAATTATCAGAGTTTTAGAGATGTACCGGAATCCGGAGTTTTGGTCATTTTCACAGCTATTCCAATTCGGGAATCCGATGAAAAGACCGGATAAATCCTTCAAAATCAATTCCGGTTACATCTCCAATTAGCATCTCAACAACTTATTCTTAGTAGCATCCTAGACTTCGACAGTTAATCAGCTCTTGCTTTCTAAAATTGCCAGAATACATATTTAATTATCTCTTGTTCAGGTAATCACTACAACGCAAGGACATGTGAAGGATGCAAAGGATTCTTCAAGCGCTCAGTTCAATTGAAAATGACATACAAATGTAAACATCTTAACAACCAAGATGCGCTCGACTCTGCTGAAAAACAAGAAATCAAATGCAAAATAAACCGAATTACAAGGAATAATTGTCAAAAATGTCGCTTTGACAAATGCATTGGGAGTGGTATGTCCGAGTCCTATTTAAGGACTAAAAGTGTTACATCAAATACGCCAACCGCCATCTTAGCTCAATACTGTAACTTAAACCAATCTATATACTCTCTCGAGAATGATGATAAAATGCTGTTAGACCAACTAGCGTCAATTGGGGCACAAAAAATCCCATCGGGAACAAGTGAGCTGCCAATCGAAGATGCTTCCCAAAATTTTAACTCAGAAATGGCCGGTCTGGCATTGTCAGCTTACGAAGAACTCAATGATATCGTGCAGTGGTCACTGTTGGTACCGGGATACTCAAAAATACCTCAGCCAGATCAACTGACAATTCTCAAAACTACATTTCCAGATGTAATGGCGTTCCGACTAGCTTGGAGGTCAACGCAATATGAAGAAAAACTAAAATTTTCGCTGGAAAAAATTATTTCAAAAAATGATTGCGTCAGAATAGGCTTCGGTGAAGCTGTTATTTGCCCTTTGTTTTCTTTCGTAAAAAATGTGAAAGAGTTGAAGATAGACATGCAGGAGTTCGCGATTATCCAGGCCATATTGCTGACTTTTGCAAGATGTTCAAATGTGCAATCTAGCGCCCAACAAAATGCAAGTGAAATTCAAAATCGAATGATGCAGTGCCTCAGAAGACACGTTAAGACTGCTTATGCTTCAGATGTTGTTCGATACTGTAGAATCACTCAGCTTTTATCAGAAGTTAAAGGAGTCAGCTTGAGAATAATGGATTGCTTCCTTTCGGCTGCAGTCAATGGCTGTATACCACTAACTGACTTTGTCGTTTCTTATGTAACCTAAATTTTGAGACTGAAACTAAAAAAACAACTGAAGGTGAGTTTTTTTTTTCTTCAAAATACTGAATGTTTCGTTCTAGTTATACAGTTATCCAGCTAATCATAAGTGTTATGTCGATAGTCAGTTCACTTCGGTTTTCCATTATTGTACAAATATTTCCTTTACTATGCGAATCAATCTTAATTCATGCCGGGGCTGCATGGATACTTATGCTATGAGTAGCGTAGTTTGCTGAGATGATCAGCTAGATCACCCATAGGTTAAATAAATTTTTTGGTAATTTTTCTTCTCTACTGAGCTAACATAATGGTTACCGCGCTAACTCTCAGTTGTGTAAATGTTATTGATTTTGTAAGCGATTTACGGCAAGTTTCTCGGTTTGTTTTTCTGTGAAACTGACTGGGCGATTAAGTTCTCAATTAGACACCTTATTCTAGGGCTATATTTTCTGAACGAAATTTTTTCATCTTCAGCTCAAACGGTTGCTAGTATTGTAACGACGATTCAAGCAATGAGTACAGAAAAAAGCAATGGTCTCTGTTTTTGTGGTAAAACTTGTCTTGCACCAACTGTACTTAATTCTAATCAATGTGTTGTACAACGGCTTCCGCGCTCACTCGAATTTTTTTTAAAAAAAGCAGAAAATCAATAAATCTCGAACAGCAAAAACCTCGAAAGTCAATTTCCAGGACTCGAGTTTATTATTCGGGTATTTTGTCGTTAATTTTAGTTGCAATTTTGTTTTTTCCTGTCTTGGAAAAGAGTGAATTGAACAAATTTGATTACCAGTAATGTTTGTGCCTGAAAACCTCAAAAAAATCCCAGATTGAGTTTTTTTTGGTTGAGTTTTTTTATGACAACCACCTATCACCCCGAGAAACCAAATGCTTCTCTAGTGCATGGAAATTTGTTTTTGCTTTTGGTTAGAAAAAGTCGGGTTTTGTCCGTTTCTTTTTATCTCAATCCACTTTAAGCGAAACATCAAGGAAACTAAGTAAAGTTTGTAAATCAGCTAGTTAAAAGTTTTCAAGACGATTTTTTTGTTTGAAATTTTCTGGAAGTGACCTGGGGAGTAAATATTAATTTATTTAGGAATCACAATTATGAAGTGCAGCAGTGAATTCTACCATAGTATTTTAGTTTTCCGTCTTTTCTTCGTTGTTTTTTCGCTCAAGTTAAATTATGCAGGACGAATTGAAAAAATTTCAAAAAGTAGAATGAGAATATTTGGAAGTTTTTGAAGGAATCTTTTTCAAAGACTGGATTTTGTTCTCATAACTTTTTTCAACCGCAGAATTTATTTGAGGATTTTCAGCTGTTTTGTCACAATTTTCAATTAGAAACATAAATTCTAGGGTTAAGGAGTCTCGACGATATTTTCATCTTGAGTTGAAACATTTGCTAGTGGGGTTATATCAAAATTCAAACATGATCTGAAAAATATTGTCTCTGAATTTGTAGTGAAAGTTATCTGACACTATCGTCTTAATTCTAATCAATGTTTTGTACGACGTCTTCCTCGCTCACTCCAAAATTTAAAAAACAAAGCAGAAATTTAATTGGTCTCGAACAAAAAAAATCTCAAAAGTTGACTTCCAGGTCTCGAGTTTATTATTCGGGTATACAATCGATCAGTTTCTCTAAAATTTTGTCTTTTTTTCTGGGCTTGGAGATTAGAAGTGAATTGAACAAATTTGATAACCAGTAAATTTTATTGCAGAAAACCTGAAAAAATCTAATTATACGGCTGAGTTTCTTTTATGACAACCTTTTTTCACCCTGAGAAACAAAATAATAGGACTTGAAAAATGACACGCAAAAAAATGCCTCTCAAGTTTACGGAAACTTGTTTTCGCTTTATTTGGTTAGAAAAAGTCAGTTTTGCGCGATTTTTATCTCAATCCACTTTAAGCAAAGCATCAGGAAAACCAAGTAAAAATGGAAATCAGTTAGTTGAAAGTTTTCAAGACGATATTTTTTTGTTTGAAATTTTCTGGAAGTAACCTGGAAATTAAATATTACTTTAGCAACCACAATTATGAAGTGAAACCGTGAATTCTACCATAGTATTATAATTTTCCGTTTCGTTTTCGTTATTTTTGCTCAAGTTAAATTCTGCAGATTATGTTCGCATAGACTGGATTATGTCTCATAACTTCTTTAAACGGGCAGTTTTGTCTTAATTTTTAATAAGAAACATAAATTCTAGGGTTAACGTGTCTCAACGATATTTTTATCTTGAGACAGCTCAAAAATTTTTATCTCAAAAAAGCTCAAAAAAAATGTAATAATATGGTTCTTGTACCCCGAAAAATAAAAAACTAGTACTTGAAAAATGATAATAAAAAAAGACGCTACTGAATTATCTGGAAACTTGTTATATAAATTTTTTGGTGATTTTTCTTCTCTACTGAGGTAATATCATTGTTAGGCGCAAACTCTCAGTTGTGCAAATGTTAATAATTTTGAAAGTGATTCATGGCAAGTTTCTGGGTTTGTTTTTCTGTGAAAGTGACTGGACGATAAAGTTCTCAATTAGACACCTTATTCTAGTGCGAAGATTTCGGAACGAATTTTAAAATATCCAGCTCAAACAGTTTCTTCTAGGGTTGTAACGACGATGCAAGCAGTGAGAACAAAGGAGCAATGGTCTCTGTTTTTGTGGTGAAAGTTATCTAACACCAACCGGTCTTAATTCCAATCCATGTTTTGTACGACGGCTTCCTAGCTCCCTCCAAGTTTGAAAAAATGCAGAAAATCAATTAGTTGAACAATAAAAATCTCAAAAGTTAACTTCCAGGTCTCGGTTTTAATTTAAATTTGGGTATTTAATCGATAATTTTTGTTAAAAATTTGTCATTTTTCTGGGCTTAGAGAACAAAAGTGAATTGAACAAGTTTGATAACCAGTAGTTTTTATTTCAGAAAACCTCAAAAAAATTTAGTAAAATGGTTGAGTATTTGTGACAACCACTTTTCACCCCGAGAAACAAAAAACTAGTACTTAAAAAATGATAAGCAATAAAACGCTCCTGAATTATCTGGAAACTTAATAAATAAATTTTTTGGTAATTTTTCTTCTCTACTGAGGTAATATCGTGGTTACGGTGAAAACTCAGTTGTGCTGATATTGATAATTTTGAAAGTCATTTACGACAAGTTTCTGGGTTTGTTTTTCCGTGAAAGTGACTGGGCGATTGAATTTTCAATTAGACACCTTATTCTAGGGTCAAGATTTCTGAACGAATTTTAAAATCTTCAGCTCAAACAGTTTCTTATAAGGTTGTAACGACGATCCAAGCAGTGAGAATAAAAAAAACAATGGTCTCTGTTTTTGTGGTTAAAGTTATCTAACACCAACCGGTCTTAATTACAATCTATATTTTGTACGACGGCTTCCTAGCTCACTCCAAATTTGAAACAAAGCAGAAAATCAATTATTCGAACATCAAGAATCACAAAAGTTAACTTCCAGGTCTCGGTTTTATTTTAAATTCGGGTAGTTAATCGATAATTTTCGTTATAAGTTTGTCATTTTTCTGGGCTTGGAGAACAAAAGTGAATTGAAGCAGAAAATCAAATAGTTTAACATCAAAAATCTCAAAATTTAACTTCCAGGTCTCGGTTTTATTTAAAATTCGGGTATTTAATCGATATTTTTCGTTAAAAATTTGTCATTTTTCTGAGCTTGGAAAACAAAAGTGAATTGAACAAATTTGATAACCAGTAGTTTTTATTTCAGAAAAACTTCAAAAAATTTATTAATTTGGTTGAGTTTTTATGACAACCACTTTTCACCCCGAGAAACAAAAAAGTAATACTTGAAAAATGACACGCAAAAAAACGCTCCTGATTTTTCTGGAAACTTGTTAAATAAACTTTTTGGTGAGTTTTCTTCTCTACTGAGGTCATATCATGGTTACGACGCAAACTCTCAGTTGTGCAAATGTTAATAATTTTGAAAGTGATTCATGGCAAGTTTCTGAATTTGTTTTTCCGTGAAAGTGACTGGACGATAAAGTTCTCAATTAGACACCTTATTCTAGTGACAAGATTTCTGAACGAATTTTAAAAAATCTCCAGCTCAAACAGTTTCTTATAGGGTTGTAACGACGATGCAAGCAGTGAGAACAAAGGAGCAATGGTCTCTGTTTTTGTAGTGAAAGTTATCTAACACCAACTGGTCTTAATTCCGATCAATGTTTTGTACGACGGCTTCCTAGCTCACTCCAAAATTTAAAAAAAAAGCAGAAAATCAAATAGTTTAACATCAAAAATCTCAAAATTTAACTTCCAGGTCTCGGTTTTATTTAAAATTCGGGTATTTAATCGATATTTTTCGTTAAAAATTTGTCATTTTTCTGAGCTTGGAGAACAAAAGTGAATTGAACAAATTTGATAACCAGTAGTTTTTATTTCAGAAAACCTTCAAAAAATTTATTAATTTGGTTGAGTTTTTATGACAACCACTTTTCACCCCGAGAAACAAAAAAGTAATACTTGAAAAATGACACGCAAAAAAAAACGCTCCTGATTTTTCTGGAAACTTGTTAAATAAACTTTTTGGTGATTTTTCTTCTCTACTGAGGTCATATCAAGGCTACGACGCAAACTCTCAGTTGTGCAAATGTTAATAATTTTGAAAGTGATTCATGGCAAGTTTCTGGGTTTGTTTTTCCGTGAAAGTGACTGGACGATAAAGTTCTCAATTAGACACCTTATTCTAGTGCCAAGAATTCTGAACGAATTTTAAAATCTCCAGCTCAAACAGTTTCTTATAGGGTTGTAACGACGATGGAAGCAGTGAGAACAAAGGAGCAATGGTCTCTGTTTTTGTAGTGAAAGTTATCTAACACCAACCGGTCTCAATTCCAATCCATGTTTTGTACGACGGCTTCCTAGCTCACTCCAAGTTTGAAAAAAAGCAGAAAATCAATTAGTCGAATATCAAATATCTCAAAAGTTAACTTCCAGGTCTCGGTTTTATTTTAAATTCGGGTTTTAAATCGATAATTTTTGTTAAAATTTGTCTTTTT